GCAGTCTCCAAAAATAAAAAGAAGAAGATCTACCCTACTTTGAAATTTTGAAATGTAACACCTTGCAAGCAAAGCTGTTTTTGTTAGCAATAGCTGTGTTTATTACGTAGACAAAAGTCCCAATGCTATTGGGGTGGTATTCTACTTCTGGTAGTGTAGGTATTTAATTTAAAACGTGCAATGATAGGGGAATAGATCATCGAAGTTAAGCAACATTGAACGATGCGAGTGGATGGACGGGTAACCGTCTGGAAACTGTCGTGCTGTTGTTCCATGGCAAGAGTGTACAGGGTGGGTCAAATTGGACGCTTTTAAAGAGAAACACCCTTTTCTACAGGAGCTAGACGAAAACTAATATCGGTGTCTGGAGCTCAATTTTTATCGAAAATATGATGGTAAAAACTGCATGTCGATATCTGTTACCGTTTATGAGTTACGGGGTGTTTTTCAAATATGTGTATTTTTTTTTAAACAAATCGTAACTTTTTTGCTATGGAAAATTTTGTATTTTTATGAAAACATTTCCAAAACATCTTTTTACGTAGAATTTAATGGTTTAAGTATATTTTTTTTCAAATTAATAATTTAATAATTATCAACAGAAAATTTTATTTTTTATATGGGACACCCTGTATGTTTTTAATTCATTGAAAATAATTTAAAATTACCTTTCCAAAAATATAACATCCTTGATATTTTGCTTGGTTCCTCTCGAGATATAAAGTTTTTAAAAATTCGCCCACTTTGAATAAGTAGGCTTTGAACCGCGTCTTTGTAATGCAAAAAAAATTGTAGCTGTGAGCAGCAATTAAAACGAAAACAATATTTGCAATGAGAGATTTAGAATTTTATAACAATTTAAACTATATTTATTTTTTTTTTATATTGTTTTTACAACATCAATACATTTAAACTATATCTAATAACAATAAAAATTAATAGCAAACCAAGAAATGAGATTTTGCTACAGGTGTTCGACATATCGAGCGTCTTCTGTTATGGACAGACGGGACTGTTTTTCAACATTTCTGGCGGAATTCATTAACTCCATAGGGGTGAAAGATACCCTCGCATAACCGCTAAGTACTTCTAATTCTTGTCTAGATTATACAGGCAATTTAAAAATAAGAACTTTTATTCTTTATTCGCAAAGATAAAAATCCATAGGCACAAGTCCGATGGCCTCGGCGGCCAACGGCTGGGATCTTGGTTATAGCTAATCGATTATTCTCGACATTGGCTGCAAAAGTTAGCTGATAACTTCAGCGTTCAGCGCTGCCTGGTCTTGCTGGAAAAATATGTTTTCGAGTTCCAGGGGCAGATCATTAATAAGGGGTCCAAAGCATACTAGTTAAAAGTGACGAACTTTTAAAAATTCTGTATTTCGAAGGGGATTATAACAAAATATCAAGTGTGCTATATTTTTGGAAAGGTAATTTTAAGTTGTTTTCATTTAATTAAAAATACATAGGGCGTCCCAAATAAAAAATCAATTTTTCTGTTGATAACTCTTAAAATATTAATTTTAAAAAAAAATATACTTTAAACCATTAAATTGTACGTAAAAAGGTGCTTTGGAAATGTTTTCATGAAAATAGAAAATTTTTCGTAACAAAAAAGTTACAGCGATATGATAAAAATGCCCATTTTTGAAAAACACCCCGTAACTCCGAAACGGTAACGGATATCGATATGCGGTATTCACCATTATGTTTTTGATAAAAATTGATATTAGTTTTCGTCTAGCTCTTATAGAAAAGGGTGTTTCCCTTTAAAAGCGTCGAATTTGACCCACCCTGTACATTCTGCCATTGACAATGTTATGGCCGAGGTTATGGCCGAGGATAGCGGATTAGCCTTAGCAGCAAAAAGGAGACGTTAACTTAAAACGCTTTTTTTGTTTTAAATTTGAATCGGTTTGTATATAAATGTGAGATATAGAAGTAAGTATCTAAATCGTATATCACTTAGCCTATATGACTGGTTTACTCTACGACTCTATTTAAACGAGTTTCATTTATATCTTACCGTTTTTGTTCCTTTTTCTAAGATTACTTGAATGGATTCCCACACACTTAAAGCGCACAATCCTAATGTTATGGAAACAGGTTTTACAATTATCCGATTTCTTTCACATCCTGTATTTGAACTGTTTACGATGTCCAACAATAATCTCATAAATATATATAATCTAATAAAATAGAATATAAGTATAAAAAATCTCATAAATGACAATTTAAGTTCTGTTTTCACAAGCCGTTAAAAAAAGTACCCTACATATAAGTACCATACGATCGAAAAAAACGACGTCCAATACGGCTAGGGAATGATTTTTCTATGATATTTTTGGCGAGGTCAAGAGCTAGACGTCATTGCTTGGTCCGTACTCTTCTTTATTTTTTAATGGTGCTTACTGCCAGTTAGCTTTAAGACGGTTGTAATTTATTTTTATATTGAGAAAAAAGATATTTAAATGGAGTGGTCTGAAATTCGAGAAAAAAAATTAGAAATAGGTTTGTGTGTCTGGAAACGTTCTATCTTTTTTTGATCTTTTTATAATTAGGGTTAATTTTTGACAAGTTTTATGTCAAATGACGTCTAGAGATTAACCTTGCCAACATTATCATAGATTGTCATTCCCCAGCCCTCTTTGAAGCCATTTTTTTCCGCTCTTACGGTATATACCCTAGGGTCTAATACCAGAGTAGCATACATTTTAATTTTTGCATGCTGATATTTGAGAAAGAAAAAAAAGGGGAAAGTAGCAGAATAAGAAATCTTTCATGTTGAAACACTCTGTGAACTCTATAGAGTGGTTAATAATTATTGTTAAGTACCTTTCCCTACATGGAAGCTGTGGCGGTATTATAATGTACCTAATATTACATTAAATTGACTACATATTCGGTTATTTTTTTACCAAAAAAGGATTAAATAATAAATTAAATATTGTGATTTATCAAATAGTCTCACCGTTTAATATGATCGAATTCACAGTATCCAATATGATCGAAAAAAAAAACAGTCTCCAGTTGGCTGGAAAATGATGATCGATGACATTTCCACTGCAAATTTATATATAAAATGACAGCGAACTTCATTTGATAGCCATTGCTGACGCCGTTTTTTTTTCGATCATAGGGTTATTAACAGCTATTTTAATAACATATGTTTTCAAGTATCTTGTACTATTTAGTACTATTTATTAACAATCTGTGACAGTTAAGTAGTCTTTCGAACAAAATTTAAAATCTATCTTAACTGATTTATAGAAAAAATATTTAAACTAAAATAATATATAAATAATTTGCCGAAAAGTGCACTGATACTCTTGCAAAACATAAGGAAAATAAAACGTCAGGTTGACTTTCGAATGACGATCGATGACAATTTTATTGGCGATTGATGATTCATGTAAAAATATAGATTTTAATTTCCTGGCCAATTCTGACGCCGTTTTTTTTCGATCGTATGGTATAAACTATTGTTTTTTTCATACTTGTTATAATATATTATTTGGGAATATTACCTACCTATCAATAGCTATTTCCAAACAATATCTGTAGGTTACATTTTGAAACTCGCTACTTCGAATAAAATCACTTATATAATCATAATTTTTAGTAGGAACTAACCATGACCGCAATTCTTTGTTTTCTGCAATTTTGGGAATTTCTCCTATCAGTTCGTTTAAGCAATATATTTCTTGTTTAAGAGAAAGAAGAATTGTTTTTTCTATTTCCATTAATCAACCAAGATATTTGACGTAAATGTCAAATCAAAGTAAATGGAAATGTCAAGTCATATGCATAAACAGTTGATTTTGTCACCAAATAAAATTTAACACCATCAACAAAGCCGCCTTTCCAGAATTATTAGTAGGTACTGAATATTAAAATTTTATTAAAATTATATATTTATCGTAATAATATACTGGGTGTTTTATTTGAAATAAAAGAACAACTTGCTTTTAAAAGTGACCAATGGAAAATATTAAATTTGTCTCATCCTGTGTAACTTTTTGGGTCAAGTTTTAATCTGATTTACAATAGATATTTTAACTACATATTAGTCTATACCGGGCAAATTCTAATTTTTGTTGAAAGTTTTATTGAAATTATAAATAATTTAATCTTCATTTTTAAATATGTCAAAAAACTTACATTTTATTCATATGCTTCTCTAATGAAACTTACCTTTATTTTCCCCCTAGAATCCAGAATAAAAATACAGTATGTCCCCGAATTAGTCCCAAAAATTAAAGGCGTTTCTAAGTTTCTATGGTAATATTATTTCGACTTCATTCTTTGATAGATCGTTATAATTAATTTTTATTAGCCTCATATTTTTTGATGTTGTTAAAGTATCACATTTTCCGATAACTATTATCACCCTTTCCGTAGCACGAAGAACGTGGAAAAAAAAATTATATTACCATAGAAACGCGTTTTGATTTTTAGGACTTAAAAAGGACTTTGAAAAGAGTTAAACGGGATTAACTATTTTAGAACAAGCAGACATTTTTTATGAAGAATGCATTTTTCTCAAAATGTCAATAATTTTTTTTTCTTGTAAAGACAATCCGGGGACATACTGTATAGAGTGGTCTATTACAAAAAACACAACTTTGATGCGTAACTTTTATTGAGGACTCCCTGTAGAACTGTATACAATTTTCAAAAATGCTCTAAATTAACATACAATAATATTAATAAATTGATAATCATATAATAGTTAATAATAATAAATAATAATTTAATAATTTTAATTATTAATTAATTATTAAAGAAATTTTATATTATTTAGAATGATATGAAAAATATATCTTGATGAATTCTCTAAACCTAGTGGCTTTTTACATGAAAAAGATATATTTTTTTTTATTTTAGTGGTAATATTTCCATGTAACCGTTACCAATATTTACTTTATACTGAAAAAAGAGATAAATCTGGGTGAAGTGGGGAACGTGCTAAACCTAAACATTAAAATATCTAATTTTATGCTGAACGTTGTTAACGAACGGGTGTGTTTAAATTTTGCCAGAAACCGCAAAAATAATCTGCGATAAGTGTGGTATGGAGGTTTCGGTGCAATTACTTATTTTTTTAATGTGTTTCGCATCGATTGGAACTTTTGAATTTCGATACCATTCTAACGAAGAATTGGAAGATATTTTAATCAAGTTTCCTGCCACCCTTACGAAACCGCTGAGAGCTGAGACTTATTCAATTGGAAATAGTACAGATGGTAAGTACTTAATTATAGTATATATGTAGATATAATCTTTTTATCAGCTTTGAACGAAAGTACAGTATAAATATCTATGTATTTATAAATACCTATTGCATTATTGCAATATTGCCTATTATATTAAATGTATTATTTATAGTGTCCCCGGTGTGTTTTTAGAAGAGGAAACGCTTTTTTATTTAAAACTTTTTGAGAAAAATGCATTTTGTTTCTATGGTAATATCATTTCGTTTTCATTCTTTGATAGAGAGGGTATTAATTTTGATTAAAATCTGATATTTTTTGCTTTCGCGTAGCATTGTATTGAGCCAAACAAATTCTGAGCGTCTTTAACATATTAAAACAGCAAAAAATATTTTGAGACTTTGATATAGAAATTTGGAAAAGTATAAACCGGGTTAACGATTGTAGAACAAGCGATTTTTTTATAAAGAATTTGTTTCTCTTAAAAAGTTAATAATAAAAAAAGAAGAATTCTCAAATTTTATATTGTGTTTTATATTTTTTTTTGTTTTACTTCTTTTTTGTTGTTCCTCTTTATTCCTTTAATTTATTTAAAGGTACGAAAGTAGTTTAAAAGAGTTGGTTTGGAAATGAAAATTGCTCTCATTTTATATGTAAAATTAATTTAAATTTGAGAATTTTAAATCAAGAGTTTTTTATTTTTTACCTTTTATGTATTTTTTATTAACTAGTTATCATTACTGTCATAATTTTTATTTCTTATTTATTTTTTTAGTTCAATAATTGTTTTATTATTTATAAAACTAGACATTTTTGACACGTTCTACATTCTTTGGGATATTTATATGTAACATTTATGATTTAGAACGAATAATTTATTATTTATATCTATATGGTAGGTGCCAATGATCCTCATTTCGAAGCCAACTCGTATTTTCTATAGTTAAAAAAGAGAATAGGATTTTACAAATTTTCATGTGTTTATTATACTCCAATTAATAATTATTGTGCAAAAAACCTTCTACTATAATGTTTTTCTCTCTTTGATAAGTAGGTACAATAAGATCGAAATAAAAACGGTCTCAGAGTTGGTTTGAAAATGACGATCGCTATCAGTTTGAGTGAAAAAATATATGATAAATTTTATCGATCGATATCTTGATGCCCTTTTTCGATCATACAGTACATGCGGAATTATACAGGGTGAATGTTGAATAAGTGCAAATATTTTCAGGGTTAGTAGATCTTGATAAAAGAAACATACTTTTTTTACCGTTTTTCAGTCCAAAATGACTGATATATTTATATTTTACTTTGAAAATGTAAAAAAAAATATTTTGCACTTAAATTTTGAGAACTCGATCTTTTCTGGGTTTTCTTTCTTGTAAATTTAATCTACTACCCATGTTGCCATATTATGTTATTTTACTAAAAATTAAAAAAAATCCAATTTTTTTTTCAAAAAATTCCAAATTTTCACAAAGTCAAAAAAAGTCCTTCTGGAGTCGAAATATACTATCACTAAAAATATTTGCACTTATGTAAGACTCACCCTGTATATAATATTACAAAAAGTAGAAAGAATTTATTGGGCAAGTCTACAGTAAGATTAGTCATGAGACATGACTAAAACATGACTACCCGTAGACACTCAGTGTTTCTACCCTTCCGGCTTCGTCAATACGGGAGGAATCAGCAACGATGAACTAGCGATCCTGAAAAAAAGAAGGGAAGCAAACGAGGCACAAGGCGCCATTTGCAGCCTCGTTAGGCAGTAGCTTACAATTTGAAGCGTTCCTACCGAAAAACCGCTGCGGAGGCGTTCCAACACACCTCGCCGCCATCACCTTCGCCCAGAGAAAACAATAAACAAAAGATGTTATCGTGGAGACTATAATAAAAAGAAGAAAGAATTTATTGGGCAAGTCTACAGTAAGATTAGTCATGAGACATGACTAAAACATGACTACCCGTAGACACTCAGTGTTTCTGCCTTCAATAAATTCTTTCTTCTTTTTATTATAGTCTCCACGATAACATCTTTTGTTTATTGTTTTCTCTGGGCGAAGGTGATGGCGGCGAGGTGTGTTGGAACGCCTCCGCAGCGGTTTTTCGGTAGTAACGCTTCAAATTGTAAGCTACTGCCTAACGAGGCTGCAAATGGCGCCTTGTGCCTCGTTTGCTTCCCTTCTTTTTTTCAGGATTGCTAGTTAATCGCTGCTGATTCCTCCCGTATTGACGAAGCCGGAAGGGTAGAAACACTGAGTGTCTACGGGTAGTCATGTTTTAGTCATGTCTCATGACTAATCTTACTGTAGACGTGCCCAATAAATTCTTTCTTCTTTTTATTATAGTCTCCACGATAACATCTTTTGTTTATAATATAACATTTAATTCAAAACATTTTTTATATTTCTTTATAATTAATCACTTAATATTTGTTTTTTAAAAACTTTTGTCACTCAATATTGATTTTATATTATTTTTAGGATATTCTTTGTGGGTTACTGAAATAACTGCTTCAAAACCAAATGCTCTAAATATACCCAATGTGAAGTTAATAGGGAATATTCACGGTAATGAAGCTGTGGGACGAGTCATTCTACTTAAGTTTCTCTATGTAAGTTGTAAACTAAAGTCAGTATGGTTCTACCTATCATACCTTAAATAATCAAAACCTCTACGAATAAAATGCACCCATAACAGCAAATAATCGCTTTCTTTATAGATAACCATATTAACATTAAGTTTACTGTTTTTTTATGATATATATTTTTCTTTTTATTATAATAAATAATCTTACAAGGTAACTAAAAAAAATGCAAATTTCTGTAGTATAATTTTTATGTTGTTTCATGTTCATGTGTGTTTATTACATTTTATGAGGGCAATCATAAAATGTATTGTAATAATCATAGTTCTATTGTAGTCATGTACAAGGAGGACAACTGAATTTTAAATATTATATTTAATTTAACGTTTTTCAAACAGGGTCCATTAGACTATATTTCTACTAGGTACATTAATAACATATTTTAAAAAAAAAATAAGAGTAAAAGTAACTTAAACATTCATAAAAAGAGAGGTATTTACTGTTGTAGATTCTCAGTAACAATAAAAAAGAGCAATTTATATTGTAAACATTGAAATAACTGGAAGCTAAACTTTCTACCTGCTTATATTTAGAGCCAGTATCTGACGACCTTTTTTTACGATGACCCTAATATGTTTACTTCTAAAGTCGATAAGAGCCATCAGTAGAAGGCCATATCAGTAGAAAAAAGAAACAGAATATCTCCCTTTTTGTCGGTCGCGCGTACACAATGCTTTTTGTTCGGCCTATTTGTTCTGCTTGTTCGGGCGCGCTCGTTCGTTCGGGCTAAAATGCTCAAGTCTAGACGCACCTTTAGGAACAATACTGTTTTTGTTCTTATATAAGAATTATTTAAAAGTACTAAAAAATACCATTACCATAATCAAGAATAACATTTTTAAATGAATGTAATTACATGTAATATTTTAATTATATTAATTCTTATTTCAATATGATTATTTTAGTATTTAAGGGATGAGTATAAAAATAATAACGAAACAATCAAAAAACTATTAGAAAATACCAGAATTCATATAATGCCAACTTTGAATCCTGATGGATTTAATCGTTCTTATATATCATGCGATGATGGCAATAAAGGAAGATACAATGGAAAGAATAACGTCGACCTAAATAGAAGTTTTCCAGGTAAATAGTAGATAATAACCTACACACTATTTCGAAAATGTTATATGTTAAGTCTGGAACGTGGAATTACCAACAAAGCATCATCATCGGTAGAGTTATAAACTATTGTATAATTTCAGCCCATTTGTACGTCATTTGCATGCAGAAAAAATCTTCAAGGCCTTGACTGTGTCGTTTTGCCTTGAGGAAGAACTACATGTGTGTGGCTACCATAAGATAATAAATCCATCCGTTTTATGTTTTGTTTTAGATGTTTTCTTTGAAAATGGAATTCCACTTCAAAGCGAAACCATTGCTGTTATGAACTGGATGGAAAGAATTCCTTTCATTTTGTCGGCATCCCTACATGGAGGAGCACTAGTAGCAAACTATCCCTATGACAGTATTCAAGAAATACGTAAGTAGAATATCTGTGCGTATACTTTTTTCTTCACAATTTCTGTTTTCTGGCCATCTTTTTGCAAAATGTCATTAGGTTTCATTCAAGGATCTTCCGGGTCTTTGACGCCGAAGCTTCTTGTTCTTATGGAACTAATTTCATAATGTAATTTTAATTATTCACTTCAAGTCGTAAGTCCATACCAAGTTGACATATAATATGGAAGAGTAATACTGAGAAAAAAAAATTCCGTGATTTTTTATGTAAAGAATGTCTCTTGGTAAAAATCGCTATGAGCAACCGTTCTCAAGATATTTAGGATGGAAATAGTCAATACATGTAATTATTGACAAAAAACAAACATGAGTATATAGATATCTAGTTATTTAACTGAAATAAAAAATTTGGGAACTTTTTTTTTAAATTAATCATAATTTTTCAACTGCTCTTTTTGTTTAACTGAAAATGTCAAAAGTTGACATATGATATATGTCATTTTATTCAGAGTGTCAATTTCTATTAAATTAATTATAAAAATACGGAGGGTGTTATTTAAACATCCAAAGTTGTAGTAATTTTCGGTAAAACAGGAAGTGACTGAAAACAATTGAATACGTCAAGAATATACTACTACTTTTATCTGGAGAATTAAAAAAGTTATAGGGGTGAGACACTTTTGAGAAATACCTGGTATAGATATTCGCTTTGTATTTCTATTCCTTGATGTGAAATAAATATTGATGTGAAATAAAAATATATTCCTTCATGTGAAATAAAATATACTTTTAAATTTTATAAATAATTAGTAGTACATGTTTTCTTTTAGATTCAAATTACCATTCGGAAAATAATCCATCCATATCTCCCGACGATGATGTTTTCATACACTTGGCGAAAACTTATTCATACAATCATGCAACGATGCATTTTGGAACGAAATGTACAAAAATGTCCTTCAAGGATGGCATTACTAATGGAGCCGAATGGTACAGCTTTGCTGGCAGTATGCAGGACTACAACTATTTTAAACATGGATGTATGGAACTTACTCTGGAAATATCCTGTTGCAAATATCCCGAAGAAGACACTTTAGAGTCTCATTGGAAAGATAACCAAAATGTAAGTGGTAGTGCAATTTTTATTATTAGAAGATTTTTTTTAATTCACATACAAATTTATGTGTTTTGGTATTGAGATTTAGGTTAAAATGTGATTTCCACTCAATCACATACAGTTTAGTGATGTCTAATCACTCTCTAATGTCTGAAAAATAGAATACAAAATTATAACACTCTAATATTTGTAGAAAATATTATATAAAATAATGCGAATCATAATTCTTCAAATTGTGAAAAGTCAAACCCTTTATCGCTTGCGCTACTCAGTAAAGTACAGTAATTAGGAATACTATGATTAAGTCAATATACATATTTATTTATAGGCAGACAGTAGTATTGACTGACTAGTGAGAAAGAAAATCTAGGAACTAGTGGTCTAACAACCCCACTAGTTCCTAGATTTTATTTTATTTATTTATAGATATATTTTTTTAATAATGAAGGTCATAATATATGTATATATTTGATATCAATTAAACTTTTAGTTACGTAATCGAAGGCGTCGCGCGTCGGTCTGACTAACTGGAATTTAAATTTTGCGCTGGGGATTTAGGTGGTAGCTCTGCTATAAAAAATGTCAAGATGCCGTGTTTATTTATTTATTTCCTAACATTGTCATTCATTTTGACACTTTAGTTTTGTATTACGAGTTTTTGGTTTGAATAAATAGTGTTGTAATACTTTAAGCCTAAAAATGTTTACTAGCAGACCTGGCAGTCGAACATTGTTCTTTTTAGAACCTCTTTTAGTGCGAAGTGTATAAGATAGCTTAATAGCAGTAAAAACCTCATCACAACTTTATTAGAATGTTTTGAACGGGATACCCTTAAACGCCGCTATGAAGGTGAGTTTTGTTGATGTAAATAATAACTGGTTGTATATATTTATAATTAATTTATGTTTCTTTTCATATTTTGATCAAAAGAAAATATATAAAAATGGGCAACGTTGTGCCGGTCAAGCTTAATCACGTGACTAAAAGTTTATTTGGTATGAACTGTATTTACATTGTAAATTAGTTTACATAAAATTTATTGTTGTTAATTTATTATATAGGCTTTGGTAGCACTTTGTTTGGAAGCTGACAAAGGTATTTATGGACAAATATTAGACGAACAAACAAATCAACCAATTGGTGGTGCTACTCTGCAAATCCTAGGTCGAAACATGACATTTTTCAGCTCCAACTCTTCTGGAGAATATCGAAGGTTGTTACTTCCTGGGACCTATACCATAAGAGTGAGGCATATTTTACTTGATTTTTATTAACATGTAATTATCTTTTTACATTTTCAGGTGCAAGCTAATGGATATTACAATAGTGATACCACAGTTAATTTAACTCAAATAGATTCTGTGATTCATAATATCTATTTAAAAAATTCGTCTATAGTAACTTCTACTGTTAGAACCACTACAAAATATAATACATTTTCACCCACATCATCCATAAACTTATCTGAGGTTTCTAATGAGTCTAATTTAACTTCATGTAAATCATGTTCGGATTACGAAATACCTTATGTAGTCGGTGAACTTAAAAGTTCCGCAGTAAAATGCTGTATGTTCAGCATTACATTGCTTTTACTAACATGCTTCGTAATATTGTTCAATAAATACAATTTGTAAGAGATTGAAAATAGCAATACAATAGATTAGGGTTAGTTAACTACTTATGCGTAACAATGAGCAAATGAAAATATTAATTAACATTATAACAATTAATAAAAAATGTTATAATATTATTTCTTGTAGACGTATCTGTTTTAAAAAGTAAAGTGTTCTCGAATAGTTCAATTTAAATATTTTAAATAGTTTTTTTCTTGATTCTTTATATTTTTTTGCTTCCGACGACGGAAAGAGAAAACTTTCCGAAACGTTAAGCATTTTTTTCTTTGTTAGGCAAATTTTTATTACTGTAAACACAACTTCTGACAAGCAGCGTCCGTATAGGTTTAACGCCCCAGAAGTGTTTACAAAAAATAACTATTTTATTTTGTAGATTTTTCTTGCAGTGCAGTGGCGAAAAACCCATAAGGATTTTTTTGGATATTATAACAATTTTTACAACTTTAATAGAGTGAATATTACTTATGAAATATATTCTATGATCAAAAAAATATGGTGCCACAGTGAACTTTCAAATGAAAATATATACTATTATAATGATCTCTAGATATGTTATTTATTAAAAATTAACACACAAACAAAATAATTCTTCTAGACACAAATCTATTTTCAAAGTTTAATTTTTACTATTTAGATTTGGGTGTAAATTATATTATGTGTGTCTGCAGACTTCTTTTTTCAATATCATTTCAATATTAATTTTCATTTTTTTATTATCTTTTCATTTCAATATTAATTTTTGACAAATTTTTATGACATTTTTTAATAAATGACGTATACGAGTAGAGGTCAGTTTACAGATATTGTTAATTGTTATTTATAGGCCAATATGTGACATCGTTTTGTGATTCTATGGTATATTTTGTCAAATGCTAACTAAATTTTCATGTTGTTTGCTCTACAGTGTGTCTTTACAAGAGGAACAGGAGGACAGGATTGTCTTTATAAGAGGAAAAACTTTTTTATTATTGACATTTTGAAAAAAAATGAATTCTTCATAAAAACTTTTGCTTGTTTTAAAATAAATCTGTCTATTAGATGTATGTATTATGTACTCTCTTTATGATTTTATGTGTTGAAAATAATCTGTTTTAGAAAAAAAAATAAAAAAAACACGAAAGTCCTAAAAATCAAAAGGCTATGGTAATATAATTTAGATTTCATTCTTTGATTGATCGTTATTATTGAACTAAATAAATTTTGTGCTTCTTTAACAATAATTTATAGCAGCAAAAACTATGACTTTAATTAAAATTCTATCAATCTTCTTACAGTGCCATACTCTATATAGAGCGTCGGCTACCTCTCGCATGTACTAGTGATGTGTGTCATCAGTGTTTCACAAGTACAAGGGACCTATAGTTTATTGCCGAATCCGAACGGCACTATTTGAGAGGCTGTACAAAGAATGAAAACCAAATGATTTTATCATACAAATGCGTTTTGATTCTCGAGAATCAACTATATTTTCATGTTTTCTTTTTAATTCTCTCTGAAATGGTATGGAAATTTGGAAAAATATAAATGGGATTAACCATCTTAGAACAGGCAAAATTTTTTATGAGGAATGCATTTTTCCCAAAATGGCAATAATAAAAAAGTTTTTCCTCTTGTAAAGATAATCCTGGGACATATATACTGTAGATTTATTTTTTTAGAAATTTATTTAAGTGATTAATTTAGATATAATTGTGATTTGTAAATATATTTATAAATCTTTGGCATTAACTTCGTGTACAATTAAATGAAGGATTTTATCTTCTTACTGAAATAAAAATTAAAAAGAATAAAAAATATACTAAATATACAATAACCAGCAATACAATAGCCATAATTTGTGATAATATGTTAATTTATAATTATCTTACACTGCCATATTTAATTTTGTAAAAAAACATTGCAACATTTATTAGTGATTCAAAATTGAAAATATGTCGTTTTTGATATATTTATTGATCTCTTATAGTTATTGGTAGTACAAGATTACATGTCAATGTATTTTATTTTGTTTTAAAAATATATACATTTGTACAATAGTATACAATAACAAATATAGTTCTCAATACATAAAGTAGGTACGTTGTTTTTTATTTCTTACAGGAACCTTAATATTTCTTGTACGTAAATATTTCTTTTCTGAATGAAGGAATGGAGGTAGCAAAAGACATGACGTTTCCAGATTAGCAGTTTTATTAAGCATTGTTGTGATAAACGATAATTTAATAGATTTTGAGTTTGGTTTACACACCAAACTCAAAATCTATTAGAGAACTTTTCGATGCGCCTAAAGAGGACTTTTTCGATGCGCCAGAGAACAGAGGACAGTACGATCAAAAAGGGGACTGTCCTCTGAAATAGAGGACGGCTGGCAATCCTAGGCATGTTTTTAATAAATATTAGTAACACTAACAGAACTAAAGATATTAAAGAAAAAAACTGTAATAACTAAGCGTACAAACAAACAAAAAACTTGTAAAAAATACTCTAATACTTTGTATTGCTTCCCCCGGCTGCAAGAACTGTCTGTAGACTTCGGTCCATACTGTTAACGAGGCTGCAAATATATTGTGTTATGTTTTCCCATTCTTCTTCAAGAACCAAGCGAATATTCATAATTTTGGCCATCTTTAACAATATCAATAACTTTTGTACAATCTTCGACACTAAGAACCATATTCAATCGTACACAACAATAATCACTAAAGCCACCGTGTCATTATGAAGAATAACATTAAAAAGTAACGATAATTGAAAAAAATTGCAAAAATGTTAGTGGCATGTTCATTTTGCTCTTGAAAATTAACCCAGGCATGTATTGACATGAGTCAAAAAATAAAATATTCAAGAGACATGGTTCTGACCAAAAAATAATGTTTTAGGAAAATTTGCTCACCAAAGCATTGCACAGGGTCTTTTAAAGATAGGGTAAAAAACAACTTTTCGATTAACCCTGCATAATAAGTCAAATACCAAAGTTTATAATAAATTGAGTCTAGGGATTAAAGTTGATATATTTATATAGGGTTGTTCACCACAGACCACACGGAGTATTGTAGCTAAATGATTAAATTTTTGCAAATTGTAAGTTTATGGGTTCGTTGAAGGATTATTAGAGCTACAATTTAAATTTTTTTTTACAAGATACAGATTGTCACAAATAAATAAAAAATAGCAAAGTTGTATTTTTTAAATCGAACACCCTGTATATTATTACATTTTTAATTTCTACAATAAAAAGAAAGGTAAATTTGATGAGGTTTACCGCATTTTAATCTTACCGTTTTTGAAATATTTAGGTTTTTGTTAAAATCTACATATATAAAATGCTAATGTTTATCTGTGTCGTCTCTACTGAAGTAAGGACTTGCTTTAGAAAGTTGCTTTTTTTACTAAAAGGTAGCTAATTGGCTCTTCTAAAAACTGTCGTCGCCGGATTTTTTCTTTTTCATTTAATTAAAAAAAAATAAAAAGTATTTTTTTTCCTGATGTCGTGGCGGATGCGCCAGGCTTCAACTAGTATAGTAATAATTTTAATACTTCATTTCTCTAGACGTATTTCAGTTTTTAAAAACAAATATTGTACTGAAGTATTTCTATTTACTAAATTTTGTGTTGTAATAATAAATATTTTACTACCTTATACAGAGTGTCTAAAAAATTATTTTAAATAATTACTAACTTTAAACGGCAATAACTTGATTAATTTAAATGGAACACCCTGTATATTTTATGAGAATTAGATGCACAATTTAATTGTCTATCAAATTGTATTATACCATTTTTTACCTATCTCTTTTTACTATCTATATAGTTTTCGTAGAAAATGCATTTTCTTATAATTTAGACCTCATTTATCAATACACCCATGGAATATTGACATTTTAAATTATTTTTAAAGAGTACTGATACTAATATTGTCGATATAGTTCATTTATTTCATTAAAAAAAAAAAAATAAAAAAAAACTGTTTAAATATTTGTTCGTTTAAATATTGACCGAATCGAACCATATTGATATGATTCGAGTATTCAAACTACAGTAATTAACTGTTTGCGTTGATTAGTAATAATTGCTTTAAATACTAAAAAACTTAGTTTTGTATGTGTATTAGACAATGTGATAAAAAGTAACACCTTAAAAATTTTATTTCATTGTTTTGACGAATGCTTATTTATAACAACAGAGACGTTAATTTTCATAACTAACACATTTATTTAGAATCATTTATTAACTAACACAATTAAGAACGTAATTAATTAATATTTAATTAATGGTATACTCTTTTATAAAGATTTAATTTTTTTTGTATACAAATGGGCTAGTAATCGGTTGTAAAAACAATCTAAAATGTCAATTGTTAAATTAAAATGTCACCATTGATAAATGAGGTCTAAATTATAAGAAAGTGCATTTTCTACGAAAACTTGAAGGGATAAGTAAAAAATGGTATAATAATATAATGATAGACAATTAAATTGTGCATCTGACTCTCGTAAAATATAGAGGGTGTTCCATTTAAATTAAACAAGTTATTGCCAAGTTAAAGCTAGAACTTAGTTAAAATAAATTTTTAGACACTCTGTATGAGGTAGTATTATTTTTATTATTGCAACACAATAACTAACTGATCAGTGAATAAACTTCAGTAAATATTTAGTATTAAAAACTTTGATAACCTTGGAGAAATGAAGCATTAAAATTTTTACTGCAATTTCACAAAATTTAAAATACTTCAAAAACGGTAAGGTTTAAGTATAATAAACCTTAATCAAATTTATCTTTATTTTAATCGTAGAAACTAAAAATGTAATAATACACAGGGTGTTCCATTTAAAAAAATACAACTTTGATATTTTTTATTTATTTGGGACACTCTGTATCTTGTAAAATATTTTTAAATTGTAGCTCTAATAGTCTTTCAATGAACCCATAACATACAATTTGTAAAAATCTAATCGTTTAGCTACAATACTCCGTGTCATATGTGGTGAACAACCCTGTATACAGTTTGTTAAAAAAAATCAAGGAAATAGGGCTAAAACTAACAAAAAAAAAATCACTTTAAACTTGACATTTAACATTTCCCCAACGAATAACGTAGACGTTTTCAAGAAATTACATAGTTTCTTACATTATAATTTCAAGATATTTT